TCCAATAGAATCATTCACAATTGCACCTGAAGAAACAATAAAACCATGAAGAGAGGATGAAGTTGGTTTAATAAAACGTTTAGCATTTGACCAAAAAGAGACAGATATAGGAGATTTTGTAGGTCTTAGTTGAATAGCATAAGACAGTTGAGAAGATAAAAAGAATTTTAGTTCATTTTTATTAATTTTCCGTAAGTAACATACTTCTCGTTTTAAATCTAAGCTTTTAGTTCTCTTCTGACGAAAAGAAAGAGCTCGTACATAAGACATAGAGCAACGTATATAAGACGGAATAGCAATTTCATATTTGCTCAACGGAAAAATTACTGTACAACGAGCTGTAAGAAGATAAAGAAATTGAATATAATCATTATAGGAAACATCAACATTTTCAAAACACCAACACTTTTCGCAAAATTGAAATGTATATTCTGTAAATAAAATTTTATAGATAGAACTGAAATTACTGGACAATGATCACTAGTAGTTTTCATTTTATGCGTTTGAACGTCAATTCTAATAATATTTAAAAAAGCATAATCAATCTTTCTATCTGATCTAAGAGAAGTAGGATCATCAGGTACAAAAGGAGATAAAAACAATGAGTCAGCCCAATCCAACAAATTGTCAGCTACAACACCATCTTGCTCTAAATCTACATTGAAATCACCATATACAACAATTTTATCATTAACAAAAGGAGATAGATCCTCCCAACTCCATGAACGACTATCAGGCGCATATACACCTATTATTCTAAGATCTTCCTCTAACTCAGCATCAATGACACATACATTAGGTAGCTTACATTCTACTCTTTTTACCATAATTCCATTCCGTACCAAAATCAAAACACCACCATTACTGTTTTCACCAGATTGTTGAAAAATTTTAAAGTCACAAAACATTTGTCTATCATCATATAAATCAATGCATCCAGTTTCTAAAAGTATGATAACATCAGTATTAAAAGATGAAATAAGAAGCAAAACTTCTTGATAACGTATATCTAAACCACGCACATTGAACAGAAGAATATTTAAAGGAGAAAAAATCGAAGATGAATCAACACACACATATTTTTTCCAAATCGAAAAACATGAAGATAAAAGAGAACAACTTTCCCACTCAGAGAGAATCAAACAAAACATATGAAAATCAAAATGAGAAAGATTCAACTTAGCTCTACGTAAAAACAAATCTCTTTTATTACAATTTAAAAATGAGGAACAACTAAAAAAAGGTAAAGCAGTAGGTGAAAGGTTCATTATATGAAGCTTTTACCTTCCATCACATCGGATATTTGATTACGAAAACGATCAATTTTACTTTTTAAATCAGGATCAACAGTTTTACCACCTCTTCCCACATTCTTAGTATCAATAAATTTTAGAATATCATCCAACATAGGAAATAAAAATTGTTTAAAAATACCATCATTTGATTTCATCAATTTGTCCAAATCATTCATCTTTTCATTCAATACCATTATACCTTAATCCATTTTATTATTAATAGATTTAAGATCATCAATTTCATTATTAATTCTTATATCATTTTCATTTTTTTCAATCATAAACTGTTGAAAACCTTGATTTGTAACACACAATTTACTTAAAGTTTCATTAACTTGAGAAAGATCTGATATAAGAGTACTTAATTTTAAATCCATTGGATTACTAGATGGTGCCCAAGGAGCTGCTGCACGAGGAAAATCATTATCAATATGTTGAGACTTGTTATTGTTAGCTATATTAGCTGCCATAGACGAAGAATATGATGTAACATTATTATTGATGTTCAACAATTTTTTTGTAAGATCAGCACGAAAGGTTTTAACAACAGGGCATTCCATAGAGTTAGATAAATGATCACCATTGCAATGTTTACATTTAATAATAGATGAACAATGATGCATTTTTAAATCTTTAAAAGATTGACCTCAGGATTTACAAGTTTCATCTTGTTCAGTACATTGACGACGAAAATGTCCTATTGAACAACATTTTGAACATATTAAAACATTCACAGGAGCAATATATTCTTCGATTTCATAACAAATATAATTAACATATACCAGTTTATTATCAATTCTAATTTCACCATTTTAATATCATTACTAAATTTATTTTTCATACGAATAACATTCTGAATACTAGGATATAAATTTTTAAGATCCAAAGAAAATTCATCAAAATCTAACTGAATATCAACATTTTTAATAATCAAAGATAATTGTGGAGGAATAGAAGGAATAGAAGGAAAAATAAACTGTTCACCACAAATCATCAATGGCCATTTCGAATGATC